TAAAGATTTCAACTGCACTATTATGTGAAAATGACACTCAATATATTTCACTATAGTTCTCTTTGGTTTCTTTAAGTATTAGAAAAAATGAATGAAAAAGTTTATATATTATAACACAAAAAATCTTCAAAACTGTAACGACCCGCCATGGTCCCTACACTCAGAGAATCGCACTACTACTAGTGAACTAAGAGAAATATTAAAACTGGATAACTCATACATACAGATATATATATATATATATATATATATATATATATATATATAAAGAGTATAATAAAATATTTATTTTTCAATACAAGTTGCTAATCAAGCAACCAATGATGACCAAATATATACAACAAAATATGCTATCCTAAGGTAGCCTACAAAAAAATCTATCTCCAGGTACCTCCTGTGGCCTCTAGCAACTATCTCCAGTCTATCCCTGCCTTGCTCCAATACAACGTATGCTCATCGCAGTCCAAACCACATGGAAACATGCAAGGGTAAGCTAGAGACAATAAACAACTCATAATAATTTAATCTGCAACATAACAGCTATAATCATCTTCACATCTGACACGAAAGATAAACAACACATATATATATATACATCTTAACATCATTTCAACTTAATTCCACATATCAACGCTGTATCAACACCTCTCAACAAATACATGTTTAAAACAACTTACAATACAACATAACAACACTATCATCATCCTCAACAGGATCAACATACAACACAATCACAGATTAACAACATAACAACATAGATACAACTTTTATCAACAACAAATCAACTCATCAACAACTTATGCGTCGTCACGCATTTCAACTCGGAGATCTCCAACAACTGAAGTTGAGCAGTCTACGTGGCATAAACCCTACTGAATCCAACGTTTGACCTATCTCAACCAGGTCAGGTATAGTACAACGTTAGGAACTATGAAGAGAACCAGGTATAAACAACAATAGGCGATTTCTCAGGTGTGCCACTTAGACTTGGAGGTCCAGTACTACTGTTAGGACAGAAGGGTTTGGGTATGAGCCTACCACGGCCTTGGCTAGCTTCACCAATCCACATATGGAGTTAGCCCACCCACTGTCCTCCAAGTACCACGCACCCTCCAGTACCTAGTCAAAGACTACATCTCTAACTAGATACCTTACTCAAATTGGTCATTCAACCATGACATGGATCGACTATTTCCATGTCGCCCACACAGTACTAAGGGATTCAACTTTAAAACAACTTTCAACTTATCACCTTAGTACCATGTATCTCAACATCTGGTCGCTTGTAATCAGTATAGCTCAGCCTGACCCCTATACCATAGTCGCTTTTTACACGTGTGCCTCAACCTTGCCCACACACGGGATCAACTAAGTCCTAGAGGAGAACAACACAACGTCTACTCCAAGGGACAACTTCCCAAGGAGGGTTTTCAACAAATGGGCCTCTCAGAGCACCACAACTATCTCAATCCGCACAATGGGATGAGCAACTTCGAAAACATCTCCTCTAGTCCTAGTGATCAACAACTTATCATCACAGCTTAATCAACTTACATCTTAAACAATGTGGTATATCAGCATAACAACTCATCAACGTTATTTAACAACACATTTTAACAACACAACATCTCATTTCAACTTTAAACAACACATGGCACAACATACAACTTTTTAGCAACATACAACTCTCCTCTAACAACTTAACAATATTGTCATCATGCACTTCACAACATATACATGTCTACACATAACATATAACAACTTTATCAACTTAATTTCAACTAACTTCAACTATATCATAGATCAACACACAACTTGTAAACGACTTCACAACTTAACTACAACATGCATCTCCAACAACATCATTAATAAATATTTAATCATATATTAGCAACACATAATATTTTCATCACATAATACAACTCATACTAATCAACCTAAGTACCCAAATGAGTTCCCAACTCACATACAACCAACAACTTTACCATCTAGCTTCCCTTTACCTGAAGATTGACTCAGAATAGCTAAGAAGCGAAATTCCCTTTTCCGAAGCTCAACTCGGAACTTCAATCCACCCAAAGCAAGCTTCCTTGTCCAGAGTCCTTCTCTCTAAAATCTCTCTCTAAAAACCTCTATTATTCTTCCACCCTCCAACTCTATTTATAGACATTCAGGAGTGGCCAGAACAGCCTGTTCCAAATCTGGCACGGCCCGTTCTGCACCCTTTCATCATGGGCAAAAATCACACGCAGAACGGCTTGTTCTGAAATCAGAACGGCCCGTTCTGGAACTCATCCAGAATGGCCCGTTCTACATCCAGAACGGCCCGTACTCCCCTCCAGAACGGCCCGTTCTCCATCCAAAACGGCCCGTTCTCCAACCAGAACGGCCCGTTCTCAACTACGACTTACAAGTCAATTTAATAGCTTGGAACGGCCCATTCTGAGCTACTGAATCACCCATATTGGACTTTTGGGCCTGAACTTGCTACATCACAATGATAATTAAACATTATTGATATTTTAATAATATTATGAGTTAATTTAAAAATTATCATGGACTCCATTTTTTTTTTGAACAAATTCATTAAAAAAAAGCAAATTAATATCTTACAAAAGAAGTTCCTATTCCATCTAAAGAAAAAGGAACTAAAATAAAATCTGTAAAATTAAATTATTCTTGAAAGAAACTTCCTTCTTAGTTAGATGCATTCCCTTCTCAGTAAGTATGTGTTAGGGTTATTATATGGGTATTTGTGTGAGAGAATATTTTATGAGAGTTATTTTTATAAGATTATTATACAAACATATTCCACAACACGGTTTTGCTTTTGATCATCACCCAAAATGTCTATCAATCATTGAAGTATGTTTGTGTTATATAAATTATTAGTTTTTGTCCTATTTTATAGGTGTGGGACCAATAGTATGCTGAAAAACTAACTCTCGAGGATATCTGAACCAGTTAAATATATCCTTTTTATATGATTTTATATTTATGAGAGAACTTATTAATTAATCTTATGATAAACACTTTCTAATTATCATCAGCACAACATAATATATACCATATAAATTTTGTAAAGAACCAAGAAAATACATAAATATTGAAGAACCTGCTGAACAGCAATTCTCTTTACTAGATGCATTTAAATGTACTAATGAGGCCACACCAACCATATATGTTGTCTTTTCTCCTCTGCCTATATAGCATTCCATCTCAGTAAGGACCATTTTATTTTCCATTTTCCAATTGTAAATATGGAGCAAGATACGGAGAAGAAAAAGCGAGATAGAATTGAAGTGAGTGAAGAGAAATGGGTACATGATGCATCTGTGGATTATAAAGGCAGAGTTCCTCTCCGTGCTTCCACTGGTGTATGGAAAGCCTCCCTGTTTGTCCTCAGTAAGATGCCTTTTCACATGGGTTTTGTTTTGTGTTTCAAGTGTCAACGTTTTATTTCAAGTTTGCAACTGTGGCTAAAAAAAGTGAAAAAATAAACTCCTTTCAAACTTTGCTTCTTAGTTCATTTTATAGCTTTATTTTCCTCATAAATCGATAAAAACGTGTTCAAGAATGTCGAAAACAAGTGGCATCCTCCACATGTGAATAATTCAAGAGTAACCAGTTTTGAGCAAAAAGGGGTTATGTTAACATACACTGTTACTATGAGTAAAGCTGTAATTTTGGGAAACTTGTCTTCTTTTTTTAGTTGGTTCTTGGTAGCAGTTATAAAAATGTGTAGTAATAAATTTGTTTTGATTAATATGAGCACAAGTTGCACAACATAACTTGGTGATTCTGTTTCAACTTGGAGCAGCAATTGAATTTAGTGAAAGGGTAAGCTACTTTGGGATAGCCACTAATCTTATCTCGTACCTAACTAAAGTCATACACGAAGATCTCCAAACAGCAGCCAAGAATGTAAACTACTGGTCAGGAACAACAACCTTGATCCCTCTTATTGGGGGATTTATTGCTGATGCCTACACTGGTCGATTTTACATGATCCTCTTTTCTTCCTTTGTATACCTCGTGGTAAATCTACTTTTCCCCCAGTAATAAATCCACAACACATTTTGTTATTACTTTGTAACTTACAATTTTACATCTTATATATGCATTCTTTGATCAATTTGACACCCCTCAGGCTGGATTTTTTCTTTTCTTTTCAATTTGTTTATATAATTATATAAGGCTCATTTCTTGATGTCAAACCAGGGATTAAGCCTGTTGGCCATGTCTCAATTCATCCCAAGTCTAAAGGCCTGCAACACTAAGATATGCCATAAGCCTAGGAAGGTTCATGAAGTGGTTTTCTTCCTTGCCCTTTACTGCATCTCCTTAGGTTCTGGAGGATACAAACCATGCTTGGAAAGCTTTGGAGCTGATCAATTTGATGATGATAACTTGAAAGAAAGGAAGAAAAAGATGTCTTTCTTTAACTGGTGGAACTTTGCACTGTGCTTTGCATTGCTGCTTGGTGCAACAGTGGTTGTTTATATCCAAGACTTTGTTGGCTGGGGAGCTGCCGGTCTTACCCTCACTATTTTTATGGCTCTCACCATCATAGCTTTTTATGTGGGAAAATCATTTTACAGGTACAGGAGGGCAGATGGAAACCCTCTAACACCATTTTTACAGGTCTTAATTGCAGCAATGAGGAAAAGGAATCTACCTTGCCCTTCAAATCCTGCTTTGTTGCATGAGGTCCCAGAGAAGTCCCAAGGAAGGCTTCTGACCCACACTAACGGGCTAAGGTATCTATTACACATATCTTGTCACATTGAGACTTAGTATTTTGACTTAATTGCACTGTCACCTAAAATTTTTCCAAACAACTTTTAAAATTATATATTTTACCATACAATTTTCAAAAATTTATATATTTTACTATTTTATTATTTGATAGTTAACCTGTCATGTTAATTATTGACATGTCACTTTAATGTGTCAGATTATATCATGTCATTATCTATATGTCACTTCGACAATTATCATATCACATTAGTAATCAATATTAAATAAAATAGTCCATTAACAAAAAAAGAAGTAAACATTATAAATCTTTTAAAAGTTTATCTAAACATGATTTCTGACTTTTCTTTTACACAATAAACTTTTACCCAGACAATTTATGGATATTAAATTCATTCATCAAAGTTATTGCAAATCAATTCTATGAACAGGTTTCTTGACAAGGCTGCAATAGTTGAAGAGAAACATGTTGAGCAGAAGGAGAATCCATGGAGATTAGCAACAGTGACAAGAGTGGAGGAGACAAAGCTTGTTATTAATGTAGTTCCCATATGGTTAACTTCATTAATAGTTGGAATATGTGTGGCACAAGGTTCAACACTCTTTGTCAAACAAGCAGCTGGTATGAACTTAAAGATAACCGACAGTTTCAAAATCCCACCAGCTTCCATGGCATCTATTTCAGCTGTTGGTACCATAATATCTGTCCCAATATACGATAGGATCATAGTTCCAATTCTGAGAAAAGTCACAGGTAATGAAAGAGGCATCAGCATCCTTAGGAGGATCAGTGTTGGCTTGTCATTATCAGTCATACTCATGGTTGTTGCTGCCTTGGTAGAAGCAAAGAGACTAAGAATGGCTAAACATGAAGTCCTCATAATAGGGGAAACTAGTGAAAAGACAATGAGTGTGTTGTGGTTGATACCCCAATACTTGATCCTTGGCCTTGGAGATTCCTTTTCTCTAGTTGGTTTGCAAGAATATTTCTATGACCAAGTTCCTGACTCAATGAGAAGCTTGGGAATGGCTTTGTATCTTAGTGTGCTGGGAGGAGGATTCTTCTTAAGCAGCTTTCTGATCACCATTGTGGATCATGTAACGGGGAAGAATGGGAAGAGTTGGATTGGGAAGGATATAAACTCAAGTCGTTTGGATAAGTTTTATTGGATGTTGGCTGTCATAAACGCTTTGGATTTCTGTGCCTTTCTCTTTCTGGCAAAAAGGTATACTTATAAGACCACACAGAGGAGAGCTATGGAAACTGACTGTTGCAAGAGTGGTGAGATGGAGATGGTGGCCTGATCAGAACCACTACGTGTACCTCTCACTCATATTTTCACCTGAACCAAATGTTTAATGCATTGTTTTCATTATACCTGCTGGAATTTGAATTGCCAAGTTATTGTTGTAGATTTCCCAAAGTATGTCTAACTAGACAATAACATAAATAAGTATATATGATTTCATGGTAAAATTTTATTCAGATCGTTAAAATTTAATGAATATTATTAATCTTATTAGACAAATAGCCTCATACAACTTAAGAGGGAGAGATGAATTAAGTTTTCTAAATTTTCTTAATAATGAAACTTTTTCGAATTACTTTTTAATAAATTCAATTCTTTAGATAAATTTATATGTAGAGAACGAAGATACACACTACTTAAACACAATCAAAGAAATAAATAAAAGAGTAAGGAGAAGGATTTGTAACCTCAATTTTATACTAGTTCGGTCAATCTTGCCTACGTCCGATCCTCAAGTCTCCCACTTGAGATTTCATTATTCTTGTAATCTTTACAAGATTTGAATCCTCCAATACCTTGTAATTTCCTTTCCTTGTGTTGAGATCCACGAACACTCAAGAGGAAAACACTTTTTCCTTTAAAGATTGAATGATAGAATAATTTTAACAAATATCTCTCTTGAAGAGTAGGTATTACAAGATGAAAATCCTGAAAGAACTCTTAAAGAATTTGCAAGTAATTATGGTCAAGAAATTTCTGTATTCATTTTTCACACTTGAGTTCGTAACATTTAAAAGAAAAATCACTCATATTTATAGATAAAAATCTCATGGTTGTATGGTGTAACTTTTTGTGTTCTTCAGAAAAGATACACTAGTAATCGATTACAAGGATTTAAAGTTTAGAATTTAGGGTTTGGTAATCAATTACAACAATTATAAATTTCAAAATAATTGAAACGTTGTATTTTATTATTCAAAATTTGAAGTTCTCTCTCTTTATAATCGATTACAAGGGTTGGTAATCGAATAATCGATTATCAGAACATATTGTTGCATTGTTTCAAAAACTTTTATGTAGAAAACTTCATATCAATAATTTTTTTCATAAATCTCTTTTAAGAAATGATTTGAAACTATTCTTTAAAGCTTTTGTTAAGTCTTTTGAAAATATTTTTACTTACTTTCAAAAGATTCAAAAACTTGTTTAAATTTAAAAAGATTAAATTGGGTTTTTGAAAACTTATTCTTAAGGCCAAACAAACTTGAAATTCTAAAAGTTTATTTTACATTTTAAGCTAAATTGACAAAACTTATCTATGTAACACTTGAGATCTTATTCTTGCATCAATTTGCTTTAACTCAATCTTGATTCTTCTTCAATACTTTATAATCACTTTGACATCATCAAAATTTTTGTGCATAAAACCTTCCACAAATCTTTTTAATCATATTATTAGTAAAGAATATTCTTTAATTTTATTGATTAATCTTTATCTAAAGAATTTGATTAGTTATTGTTGGGATGCAAGCAAAGTCTCACATCATTCAAATAAAAGGATGAACATGAGTTTATATATATATATATATATATATATATATATATAT